GGGCCGTCTCCGCCAAGGCGGCGGAGATGCGCCAAGCCCCTGCAGCCGGTCCTGCCCGGCCCGCAGCACCTCCCTTCCTTGCTTGCCTCGTAGGCACAGAAAACGTTTCAAACCCCGCTGCCTAGCAAAACTCCTTGGATACAGGCGCCAGCAGGCCTCGTTAAGAGCGTGAAACCCCAAACGGGTTAAGGAAGAAGCAAGGTGTTAGCTGAGGGTACAGACCACTTTATCACCGGTCCTCAACTGGAGTTCCTTCTGCATCCAGCTATTCTTTAGACGAAACCTCCAAACCCACCCGCGCGTGCTTTGTTCCTGCTCCCTCTCCTAAGCTATTGTTGAAGCAGTAAGCGAAGCAGGGAATTACGACATGGGAACGCGAGTCTTGCCTGTCGCCGGCCATAAGGACAGTAATTCTGTCACTTACCTCATTTCCCATAACAACGGATGTTATTGGCTTAGGGAATGTGTGAACACTCAGCTAAAGCCTGAAGACCTTTGCATACACACACACACACACACACACATATATATAGTACATATATTTATATATGTTACTCATTCTCCAGGAAACTTCTGTTCCGTTCATCGTGAGTTTGCTTCAGTAAGAAACTTGGGATTTGCCTCTTTACAACAACGTGAAATGAATCCTTGGTGAAACGTCCCGAAACCCCTCTGACTTTCCTGCTATCGTACAACTGTCCAAAGCCACGTCCCTCGGCCGGGTGCCGCCCCGGACCAGCGCAGTCTTGGGTCTATCAGCCGGCCGGCGTTCGCTCGCTCGTGCTGTACTCTGCGATTTACCTAGCCGCAGGCTGGAAATTTTCAAGCCAGCTTTCATTCACTGCCTACCCATGGTTAGGACACAGGTTGCTTTCCAGCCTGCCTAGCAAGTGGAAAGACCCTTTAGCATATATACACACACACACACACACATATATATAGTACATATATTTATATATGTTACTCATTCTCCAGGAAACTTCTGTTCCGTTCATCGTGAGTTTGCTTCAGTAAGAAACTTGGGATTTGCCTCTTTACAACAACGTGAAATGAATCCTTGGTGAAACGTCCCGGATCTGCCTCGAGCCGCGGGCGCGGAGCAGCGCCAGCGCTGCCCGTTTCCTCCCAGCGGGGAGCCTCTCGCCCCTGGCGTCAGCAGATCGCACGCACGCCGCGGGTTAAATCCCCACCAAAAAAAAAACCTCAGCGTCCAGATTTGCCCAAATAGATGCACAAGCCCTAGATCAAATCAAATGGCCGTTCAGGAATTAAACTTCTGCTGGGCAAGTCAAAGGCTTCCGAACGTGTGGCAAATCAGAGAGATTTCCACCAAACAGTATTTTATCACCCATCTGGCATCTCAGAGTCACCTCCGACGTACAAGTTCAGAGCCACTGGGGAACCGCCATCTGCAGAGGCCTCACCCAGCACGCTCAGAGGGGCCTCCCAAACGGCCGCACGCCAACTAGATAATTATCCGACCGCCTACTGTAGAATAAAAAATATCTGTATTTGTATTAGAAGTAACAAAATATAAGGGCTAAATTTGCTCTTGCTCATAACCACAGAAAGGCCCTAGAGGTGCCAGTGCAGTTAATCTACAGCTACACTGAAATACCAGCACAGAACATGGCCCAGCTCTGAACTTGCTAACGGCATTGTATGTGTGCCTGCGCGTGTGTTTATGGCCGCGGCTGCTTCAATATTTGACTGAACCCTTGTTGCTACTTTTGGCAAAACGACTAGGAGTCTACATTATTTTAGAGCACAGACACTTTGGCAACATAATCACAAGACTTTAATACGCTCCATAGAAAATGGGAATTTTTATCATCAGGATACAACTCCATGGGGGAAAAAAAAACTAAGAAGAAAAAAACTCCAGAATGTAAATATTTGACATGATGGGAATTCCTAGGGATTTTGCCTTACTTAATAGCACACAATACACCAAGCTGGACGCATCCTCAAACCAAGAGCTGTTGGCCTGTGTCCAAATGTTGCTGCTGCTCTTCTCTCTCAAATACTCCAGCTCAGCCCCACTAGATTCAAACATCCTTTCAACGTGGAGAAGTTCAGTACTAGATGTACTTACTGGCGTACTAAAAATCCATAGATGGGACACACTTCTATTCAGAAGAGCAGCACCCAGTGCCTGTCACTTATATGTCATTTTGTAACTCAGCCCTTTCCCAAACACATGAGAGCAGCTCCTCTCTCCATCTTAAAGGAGGCACAAATCAACTGCTTTACTGAACTACCGGGTGAGGGGGAAGGACTTACTCACAATTCTTCTTCAAGGCTAAAATACTCATTACAGGGAAATCTAACAAAATCCCCAACTGTGGTCTCTTCCGCTCACTCCTTACCCTAGCCGTCTGTATCGAGGAACCACAAGCGTTTGCAGAGAGCTCCTCAGTCCAGCAACCAGACAAAGCAGGACCTTTTCTTCCAGCTTTCTGGTGAATGTTGCATCCAAAGTACCGGCCCCAAGTCTCCAAGCAACAGGGCTGCACAAGTACGCCAGGCGGCGAGGGGTGCCGGTAACCAGGGATGGCGGCTGGTGATGACCAGAGACTGCGTCAAGCCTGGAGACAGCAGCAGCAGCAACAAATATCCATCCAGCACTCCAAACGCTCATTTGGACATGCAACTTTTAGAAAAATCATGATAGAAATGATAGAAATGATAGAAATGATAGAAAGGCAGGCCTGGAAATTCCTACGCAAACTAAATTCTTGTTAAAATTAAGGTGAAAGAACCCTAGGCAGTGGCCAAGCCTGAAACTGAGAACCTAGCACCGGGGTTGTGCCATGCAACTGCTGGGTCCAATCTGTATGCTCCAGATTCAGACTTTTACGGGGAAAAAAGTACCAACCAGGAGAGAAATACTGTAATATGCCCTGCTGGAAACAAATCCTGTTTGTGTTCCTCCAAGCAGACTGAGTTTGGAAAAACAGTCACACATCTGCTTCTTTATAAATAGAGGAGAAAATGCATACATTACAGTTTGCCCCAAATTAGTTACTGTACATCAACTCTTC